AGCAAGCTATAAAGGGCCCCAAAAATGACTAGTGTAAAACCATTCAAACAGGAAAACCAACGGTCTAATCTATATAAAAATTCGTAAGGGTTCCGCGGAACCCAGTGTCTCGCCTACTTTTGCTGCTAGTCACAGGCTCAACAACTAGAGGCTTTCAAGAGCCTGTGTCGCTCACCTGTATTTACTGATGCTTTGGAAATAATGTAAAATAAGGTTAAAATCATAATTAATAGTACTAGATAAAAGATGTTATAATAATATCCAAGATAATAACAAAAAACTGCAAAATTTCTGTAAAATAACTACCTCAGGGGCAGCAACCCAACAACAGGTTGTCGGATTCGTCCGAAAATTTCAGGGCAGATAAATCTAAATCTGATGAACATTTTTGCCACCTGTCAGATTTGCTCTAAATGCTTTAGTTTCAGAGATATAAACCAAAAACTGCATTTTACCCCTACGTTCTATTTTTAACCATGTCGGCCATGATGGTTAGAAGGCGAGGTCATCGGACAAATTTTTTAAAACTAGATACCCTAATAATGATTAAGGCCAAGTATGGTTAAATTTGTCTCAGTAGTTTCAGAGAAGAAGATTTTTGTAAAAGATTACAAAAATTTACGAAAAATTGTTAAAAATTTACTATAAAGGGCAATAACTCCTAAAGGGGTCGACTGGCAATTTTGGTCATGATGACTTATTTGTAGATCTTACTTTGCTGAACATTATTGCTGTTTACAGTTTATCTCTATCTATAATAATATTCAAGATAATAACCAATAAAATGATCCGCTGGGCGCAGCTTGATACGACCGCAGAGGTCGAACCCTGAACAGTTGGGGCAAGTATGGACACAACATTCAAGCTTGATACAGCACTGAATTTGGATTGTGATTAAATATTTGACACAGCATAGGTTTCTGACACAGAATGAATGTGATCTAAGAACTTAAAATTTTTTAATTTACCTATTCAAACCATATCATTATTATTTGCTTTTATATATAAATCAGAAATAACCCATTTATAAAATGGAAAATTTTAAAGAAAAAAAAAATCCCTCCCCTAAAATTTTTGAACCCCCTTATGATTCATCACCCCCAAACTCAATCCCAGCCTTCCCTTTGTGGTATGGTACCTTGCAGTACAATTTCAGAGAGATCCATACACTTGAACACAAGTTATTGTCTGGAAACTAGAAAAATGCTTGTTTTTAGGCCCCTTTTTGGCCCCAAATTCCTAAACGTTTAGGGCAATTACCCCCAACCTCAAACCCAGCTTTCCTCTTGTGATATGGAACCTTGTAGTACAATTTCATAAAGATCCATACACTTACACACAAGTTATTGTCCTGAAACTAGAAAAATGCTTGTTTTTTTTCCCCTTTTTGGTCCCTAATTCCTAAAATTTTGAGGCAATTACCCCAATAATCAATCCCAGCCTTCCCTTTTGTGGTATGGTACCTTGCAGTACAATTTCAGGGATATCCATACGCTTGAACACAAGTAATTGTCTGGAAACTAGAAAAATGCTATTTTTGGCCCCTTTTTGGCCCCTTATTCCTAAACGTTTTGGGCAATTACCCCCAAACTCAATTCCAGCTTTCCCTTTGTGATATGAAACCTTGTAGTTCAATTTCAGAAGGATCCATACACTTACACACAAGTTAGTATCATGAAACTAGAAAAATGCTTGTTTTTTGCCCCTTTTTTTGGCCCCTAATTCCTAAAAATTTGAGGCAATTACCCCCAAAATCAATCCCAGCCTTCCCTTTGTGGTATGGTACCTTGCAGTACAATTTCAGGGAGATCCATACACTTGAACAAAAGTAATTGTCTGGAAACTAGAAAAATGCTATTTTTGGCCCCTTTTTGGCCCCTTATTCCTAAACGTTTTGGGCAATTACCCCCAAACTCAATTCCAGCTTTCCCTTTGTGATATGGAACCTTGTAGTTCAATTTCAGAAAGATCCATACACTTACACACAAGTTATTATCATGAAACTAGAAAAATGCTTGTTTTTTGCCCCTTTTTTGGTCCCTAATTCCTAAAATTTTGAGGCAATTACCCCCAAAATCAATCCCAGCCTTCCCTTTGTGATATGGAACCTTGTGGTACAATGTCAGAGAGATCCATACACTAACACACAAGTAATGTCTGGAAGTTACAAAAATGCTTATTTTGGCCCCTTTTTGGCCCCTAATTCCTTAACTGTTGGTACCATAACCCCCAAAATCAATCACAACCTTCCTTTTGTGGTATTGAACCTTATGGTAAAATTTCATGGAGATCCATTCACTTAAACTAAAGTTAGAGTGCGAAAACCAATGTGTCTTCGGACGACGACGACGACGCCGGACGACGACGACGACGACAACGACGACGACGACGACGACGACGACGACGACGACGCCAACGTCATACCAATATACGGCCAAAAATTTTAAATTTTTGCGGTCGTATAAAAACTGCAAAATTTCCTTAAAATTACCAATTCATGGGCAGCAACCCAACAACGGGTTGTCAAATTTGTCTGAAAATCTCAATGCAGATAGATCTTGACCTGATAATCAGTTTTACCTTTGTCAGATTTACTCTAAATGCTTTGGTTTCAGAGATATAAGCCAAAATCTACATTTTACCCCATATGTTCTATTTTTAGCCATGGCGTCCATTTTGGTTGGTTGGCGGAGTCATCGGACACATTTTTTAAACTAGATACCCTAATGATGATTGTGGCCAAGTTTGGTTAAATTTGGCCCAGTAGTTTCAGCTGAGATTTTTGTAAAAGCTAACGACGATGGACGACGACGACGACGACGACGACGACGACGACGGACGACGGACGACGGACGACGGACGCCAAGTGATGAGAAAAGCTCACTTGGCCCTTCGGGCCAGGTGAGCTAAAAATGGGGAATTTTTTTTTTTTAATTTTCTTATAAATACTATCTTATGATTGTAAGAAGCTTCTGTCCAAGTTTGGTAAAAATCCAGAATGGTTTATGAATCTAATAAATGTTTTAAAAACTTTTACAGACTGTATGTAATGTTAACTGGAAGAAAAACTCAGTCCATTTATAAGTAATATACGGAAAAACAGGAAATATATTTTTACAAAATTTCCTTCTAGATACTAGCTTTTGATCATAAACAAGCTTCTGTCCAAGTTTGGTACAAATCCAGGATAGTTTACGAAAGTTATTAAAATTTTAAAAACTTTAACCACATAGTGAATGTAATGTTAACTGACAGAAAAACTAAGTCCATTTATAAGTAATATACGGAAAAACAAGAAATATATTTTTACAAAATTTCCTTCTAGATACTAGCTTTTGATCATAAACAAGCTTCTGTCCAAGTTTGGTACAAATGCAGGATAGTTTAAGAAAGTTATTAAAATTTAAAAAAACTTTAACCACAGAGTGAATGTAATGTTAACTGGCAGAAAAACTAAGTCCATTCATAAGTAAAATACGGAAAAAAAGGATTTTTTTTTACAAAATTTACTTCTGGATACTAGCTTTTGATCATAAACAAGCTTCTGTCCAAGTTTGGTACAAATCCAGGATAGTTTAAGAAAGTTATTAAAATTTAAAAAACTTTAACCACAGAGTGAATATTTGTGGACGCCGCCGGTGCCGACGACGACGTAATGTAGGATCGCTGTGTCTCGCTTTTGCGACAAAAGTCGCAGGCTCGACAAAAAATGAGAAAGGAGAAACATTTATGAACCACATCAACAAACGACAACCACTGAACATCAGGTTCCTGACTTATGACAGGTGCAAACAAATGCAGCGGGTTTAAACGTTTTAATAGGCGCCAACCTTCACCCTACCTGAAACAATAGTGTAACATCACAACATAGAAAGACACACTATAAAATATCAATTAAATGGCTTAACTCAATCAAAAGACATATTAACAAAAACAAGTGAACATACACTGAACGAATCAATTTGATCTATGACACAATGAAAATATAAAATTAACAAGCATTCTGAGAGTATTGCATGGCAATACATAGTCCCCTACCGGTTAAAAATTAATTGTACTGGAACAAAATGCTAACTTGATCTATAACTTGTCATGGTGTAAACTATATAACAAATATCAAGTCAATATCTTCAAGCATGACGAAAAAAAGTGTGGAAAACTGATTATTTAAGTGAATTTTCTAAGTCCAAGGACCATATCTCTGCACAAAATCATCAGACCGGAACAAAATTCGAACTTGGTCTGTAACTTGTCATGATAAAACTATATACCAATTATCAAATCAATATCTTCAAGCATGACGAAAAAAAGTGTGGAAAACTGATTCTTTGAGTGAATTTTCTTAGTCCAAGGACCATAACTCTGCACAAAATCATCAGACCAGAACAAAATTCGAATTTGATCTGTAACTTGTCATGATAAAACAATGTACCAATAATTAAATCAATATTTTCAAGCATGACGAAAAAAAGTGCGGAAAACTGAATATTTGAGTGAATTTTCTATGTCCAAGGACCACAACTCTGCACAAAATTATCAGACCGTAACAAAATTCAAACTTGATCTGTAACTTGTCATGATAAAACAATATATCAAATATCAAATCAATATCTTCAAGCACGAAGAAAAAAAGTGTGGAAAACTGATTTGCTGGTCTGACGGATAGACAGACAGACAGACAGAGTGCAAGCCTAAAGTCCCCTTCGACTTCGTTGGTAGGGGACTAATAAAACAAGGCAAGTTGGGTTTCTTTAGCGTTTTAGATATATTGCAGTTTAAAAGTTGTTTGGGGGGGGGGGGGGCGCATATATTTCTGAATAAACCACAGTTAGCCACCTGAAATTTTCAGAAATTGAAGAGTTTAACATGGTTATATGTTTGACTAATTACCAGAAATATTTGATAAAAAAACAAAGAAAAATTAGCAGTTTGAAATTTTCATATTCACATAGACTTTGTTAGTTTCATCTATACTATTAAAATAACGAGGTCCAATTTATTAGCTGGCATGACGTAATAAATTGCTTCACCGAGAGCAGCTGGATACGACCGCAGAGGTCCAACCCTGAACAGTTGGGGCAAAAATGGACACAATATTCGCGCTTGATACAGGTCTGAATTTGGATTGTAATTAAATATTTGACACATAATAGGTTTCTGACACAGAATAACTGTAGTCAAAGAACTTAGAATTGGTTATATGATTTGAATTTATATTCAATTTTTGCTTTTGTGCAATACACTATGCTGTTGCGAATTGACCCCCACCCCCCAAAAAAAATAAATATTTGAAGAAATTTTCTTTTTAATTTCTGAAATCTGAAATACTTTTAAGTAATTGTCCATTACCCAGGAAACCCTTGTTTTCCCCCTTTTTTGCCCCTTATTCCTAAACGGTTTGAGCCATAACCCCCCAAAGCCAATCATAACCATCCCTTTGTGGAATGGAAACTTGTGGTCTAATTTCATAGAGATCCATACACCTTTCCACAAGTTATTGTCTGGAAACTAGAAAAATGCTTATTTGGGCCCCTTTTTGGCCCCTAATTCCTTAACTGTTAGGACCATAACCCCCAAAATCAATCCCAACCTTCTTTTTGTGGTTATAAACCTTGTGTTTAAATTTCATAGATTTCTATTCACATATACTAAAGTTATTGTCCGGAAACCAAATGTCTTTGGACGACGCAGACGACGACGTGATACCAATACACGACAGCAAAATTTTTTGCGGTCGTATAAAAACGACGAATTAAAGAATTCAACTTCATATATAACTAAAATAGTACTATGGTGTTGTTTAAAAATTACACCATTCCAGGCCCATTTGTTTTCCACATAATTAATATAAACAATAATTAACAAGATCCGGGTCGAATCTGATACCGATACCAATAGTATATGTCACATTTAGTTTCCGCTGTTACCTTCTGTAGGTGGCACTGTAGTATTTCCTGGCCCATAAGGGATAATGATACATGTAGCCTTTTTAGAATTTTCACCACTTTCTAACACTGCCAAAAATTCTACATTCACAGTTAACTGAAGTACTTTCATTTTACTATTCAGAAATGAATTTGAATATGTATCATGACCGTTTACATTTTTTGCTATCTTTAAGAACCTAAGGCCACTAGTGCTTTTAGGTCTTTTATCGTGCAGTGAATACAAAATTCAAAATAAATCTCAAAAATTCATTTTCATCTATATGTAAAATAATTTCATATTTTTCTACACCTGATTCATCCCTCAGTTTGGGAAAGTATGTTCAGTTGATACTGTAATTTTTGTCCAATCATAATGTTCAGTTACATCGAAAAAGAGGGACGAAAGATACCAGAGGGACAGTCAAACTCATAGATCGAAAACAAACTGACATCGCCATGGCCAAAAATAAAAAGACAAACAGACAAATAATAGTACAGATGACACAACATAGAAAACTAAAGACTAAGCAACACGAAGGCCACCAAAAACTGGGGGTGATCTCAGGTGCTCCGGAAGGGTAAGCAGATCCTGCTCCACATGTGGCACCCGTCGTGTTGCTTATGTTATTACAAATCCGGTAAATAGTCTAATTCGGTAAGTCACATTCGTGAAAAGGGAAGGGTATTGTAGTTACGACATAAGGAACATATCCGATATCATATGTGAAACGGTTATTCCATAACGGTTAACCTACTCGTGATGGCGTCCGTAAAATTTACGAAGGGATGATTTCAACTTCACCATTTGGAACTCTTGGCTTAATAGCTTCCTTGTGAGCAGCAATCCTCTATCAAGGAAATCATGATAGGAAACATAAGCCCGGGAATATCGTATCAATTGGGAGATATATACTCCGTATGCAAACGCTGCTGGAATGTTGCTACATAGAAATGGAAAGTTCACAATTGGGAAGCTGAAATCATCTCTTTTGTCGTAAAGTTTTGTTTTCAACCGACCCTCATTGTCAATTTCTAGATGTAAGTCAAGATATGAGGCAGACTTAACTGTATCTGTAGTATCCTTTATCTCTAGTTCGATGGGATAGATTCGTTCAACATAGTCACCAAATTTTGTATTATTTAGTGAGAGAACATCATCTATATAGCGGAACGTAGAGTTAAATGATATTGCTAACTTCTTATCTTTCTTCCTAAGAAGTTCCTGTATGAAGTCAGCCTCATAATAATAAAGAAACAAGTCGGCAAGAAGAGGGGCACAATTGGTTCCCATTGGAATTCCGACAGTCTGTTGAAAAACACGTCCTCCAAACGTAACAAATATGTTGTCAATCAAGAAATCAAGCATCTTGATAATGTCAGTTTCAGAGAATTTTTTGTTTGAATCAGAGTGATTCTTTACAAAGTAGGATTTATCCCTCCCCAAGACAAGATACTTGTATTTACGTTCGCCATTCTTTTTAATGAAACAAAGTAATACCAACTCTTTCAATTTGTCTTTTAGTTTGGAATGGGGAATACTTGTGTAAAGTGTAGAAAAGTCAAATGTTTTAATACTATTGCAAGATGAGAGAGTCTTAGATTGTATGTACTCTAAAAGATCTTTGGAATTTTTTAGTATCCACATTTGATTCACGCCACCTCTAGAATAGGCAGTTTCACAATAACTTTGGAACCCGGCTTTGATTGCTGATAAAATAGATGTTAATAATTTAGAAAGAGGTTTCGTGGAGCACTTGGAAGACCCAGCAATATACCGTTGTTTGTAAGGACATTTATGTAGTTTAGGTATCCAATACAGTGATGGAAGATCCAGTTCTTCATCTTTGGTTGAAATTCCAAAGGAACATAGAACAGACCTATGATTATCCAGGATTTCCTCTTTGGTAAGTGTCGTGAGGGTATATGTTGAGTTTTCAAGTGAATTGTCAATACCTAATTCATTTATCAAGCAGTTTATGTAATGATATTTACACACAAAAACGATGTTGTTTGGAGTTTTAACTGCGGGGACAACAACATATTTGTCATGGAGGTAGGACAAGTGTTTTGCAACATTTGGGTCTTTAAAAATTGATGTAGCGTGGGTATTGATATGCCCATTTAGTTTCTTAATTCGAATTTGTATCAACGACCTCACAGCCTTAATCCATTCGGAAGGAGTATCTTCGTCTTCTTTCTAGCGTTTAGTCCATTGCCTGGCATAATCCTCGACTGAATCCATCAGTATTTTGAAGTTGTATTTCCAATTGATGGATTTAGGCTCACGATATTTCGGACCTTTGGATAACAAATTTCGCAGGGAAGTGTTATTGACAATGTTGAGGTCTCCGGTAATAACGTGGCCAGCCGGATTATATGTGAATTGGGAACTAGCACAGGTGCAATCAGGAGGTTTAGACTTGAAGTCGTCAATGTTGAGATCCTGCAAAACGTGTTTGTAATTGAAAATTTTAGTTGCAATTGGTTTGGTATAGGTATAAGAAATTATTGGTACAGACTGATCTTTAAAATACTGAGGTATTTTTGACTGAACTAATTTATGATGAAGGATATTGCCTAAGTTGACGCCATCGAGACCTTTATTGGCAAAGGAAAGTTTAAGAAAAGATCTTTTCTCTTTTTCATCTTTTCCAATGCGAACTGGTTTGAAAAGTCTGTGACTTGCAATATCCGAAATGATAGCTGTAAGTTTGTATTGGTTTGAATGAGGGTTTGTAACAGTGATTTCCAAACATAAATTGAACAGAGAATGAAGTTTTGAAAGGGGTAATGAATACAGTTTCGTGCGAATGTGATGAATACCTAACGGCTTTTGTATAAATGGCAGCAAGTCATTAATAGAGACATCATGCAAAGTAGGTGATGTATAATGACGATGACCATGACTGCGTCTACGTCGAGGAGTACAGTTGAAAATATTCATCACATTCACCGAGCTACAGGAAGGACTAGATAGAATACCTATACCATCAATTTTGTCATTGCAACCATATGGTGTCGCAGTTCCCAATTGTCGAATCCAGTAGTCCTCTTTTTGTCTACGGAGAGGCGTTGGAAGTTGAGGATTGTAAGTCTTGTGGTATATTTTTTCGATTATACGAACTGCCATAGAAACGATGGAATGATCAGGCTGATTAAAATGCTGGTACAGAATGTCGTTTGCATTGAGGTTGATATTTGATCTATGGCCGTTTGTTTAGCCTTCCTTTCGTTTCACCGACGTAAACCAATCCACAAAGGTTACACTTTAATCCGTAGACGACATTTATAGATTTACAATTTAGATCATCGTAACTTCTAGTAAAGTAAGACTGTGTAGTTAAATTGCTAGTGAATTGAGCGTCTGTTATTAAAATTTCACAAGTTTTGCAGCCATTAGTTCCACATTTCGAAATGAGACAGTGTTGTTCAGTCATCAAAATCCAAAATGTCTTTAAGGAGAACTGAACATGGCTGTGTATGTGTACTTTTGCTATTGTCACTAGTATGATGATCTGAATGAGTCATGTTTGGGATATTTGTCATGTCTGGTGATGAGGGGACACCTGCCTTATCAGACGACACCGTGTCCATGGTGACGTCTGTTTCGGACCTTTTTATACTGGGCGACGTCCGAGCCGGAAACCATGTTAGATCTTCGTAAATTCATGCAATTTTGCTACTGGGCGGATGATGTCCTCGGGGACAAAATGTCCACCAGCAGAGACATCGACCCAGTGGTTATAAAAGAGGGACGAAAGATACCAGAGGGACAGTCAAACTCATAGATCGAAAACAAACTGACAACGCCATGGCCAAAAATAAAAAGACAAACAGACAAATAATAGTACAGATGACACAACATAGAAAACTAAAGACTTAGCAACACGAAGGCCACCAAAAACTGGGGGTGATCTCAGGTGCTCCGGAAGGGTAAGCAGATTCTGCTCCACATGTGGCACCCGTCGTGTTGCTTATGTTATTACAAATCCGGTAAATAGTCTAATTCGGTAAGTCACATTCGTGAAAAGGGAAGGGTATTGTAGTTACGACATAAGGAACATATCCGATATCATCTGTGAAACGGTTATTCCATAACGGTGAACCAACTCGTGATGGCGTCCGTAAAATTTGCGAAGGGATGATTTCAACTTCACCATTTGGAACTCTTGGCTTAATAGCTTCCTTGTGAGCAGCAATCCTCTATCAAGGAAATCATGATAGGA